CCGTGTTACACGCGTGGCACACGCGTGTGCAACGGGTTGCACACGCGATTCACACCCGTTGGACACCCGTGTCCAACGGGTGTGAATCGCGTGTGCAACCCGTTGAGCACCCGTGTCACATGCGTGTTACACGCGTTCTCAACGCGTGTTAGGGGAATGAACTTTTAGGCAGTAGTGTACATTGCTGAATATTCTCGCCGATATTCAAACCCTCAACCCCTAACACTACATTGCTGAATAGTCTCACAGATATTTCCACCCTCAGCCCCTAACACTACATTGCTGAATATTCTCACCGATATTTCCACCCTCAGCCCCTAACACTACATTACTGAATATTCTATCCGATATTCCCACCCTCATCCCCCTAACACTACATTTCTGAATATTCCCACCCTCAGACCCTAACACTACATTGCTGAATATTCTCACCGATATTCAAACCCTCAACCCCTAACACTACATTGCTGAATAGTCTCACAGATATTTCCACCCTCAGCCCCTAACACTACATTGCTGAATATTCTCACCGATATTCCCACCCTCATCCCCTAACACTACATTGCTGAATATTCTCACCGATATTCAAACCCTCAACCCCTAACACTACATTGCTGAATAGTCTCACAGATATTTCCACCCTCAGACCCTAACACTACATTGCTGAATATTCTCACCGATATTCCCACCCTCATCCCCTAACACTACATTGCTGAATATTCTCACCGATATCCCTACCCTCACCCCCTAACACTACATTGCTGAATATTCTCACCGATATCCCTACCCTCACCCCCTAACACTACATTGCTGAATATTCTCACTGATATCCCTACCCTCACCCCCTAACACTACATTGCTGAATATTCTCACCGATATCCCTACCCTCACCCCCTAACACTACATTGCTGAATATTCTCACCGATATCCCCACCCTCAACCCCTAACACTACATTGCTGAATATTCTCACCGATATCCCTACCCTCACCCCCTAACACTACATTGCTGAATATTCTCACCGATATCCCCACCCTCAACCCCTAACACTACATTGCTGAATATTCTCACCGATATCCCTACCCTCACCCCCTAACACTACATTGCTGAATATTCTCACCGATATCCCTACCCTCACCCCCTAACACTACATTGCTGAATATTCTCACCGATATTCCTACCCTCACCCCCTAACACTACATTGCTGAATATTCTCACCGATATCCCTACCCTCACCCCCTAACACTACATTGCTGAATATTCTCACCGATATCCCTACCCTCACCCCCTAACACTACATTGCTGAATATTCTCACCGATATCCCTACCCTCACCCCCTAACACTACATTGCTGAATATTCTCACCGATATCCCTACCCTCACCCCCTAACACTACATTGCTGAATATTCTCACCGATATCCCTACCCTCACCCCCTAACACTACATTGCTGAATATTCTCACCGATATCCCTACCCTCACCCCCTAACACTACATTGCTGAATATTCTCACCGATATCCCTACCCTCACCCCCTAACACTACATTGCTGAATATTCTCACCGATATCCCTACCCTCACCCCCTAACACTACATTGCTGAATATTCTCACCGATATCCCTACCCTCAGCCCCTAACACTACATTGCTGAATATTCTCACCGATATCCCTACCCTCACCCCCTAACACTACATTGCTGAATATTCTCACCGATATCCCTACCCTCACCCCCTAACACTACATTGCTGAATATTCTCACCGATATCCCTACCCTCACCCCCTAACACTACATGCTGAATATTCTCACCGATATCCCTACCCTCACCCCCTACACTACATTGCTGAATATCCCTACGCTCACCCCCTAACACTACATTGCTGAATATTCTCACCGATATCCCTACCCTCAGCCCCTAACACTACAATGCTGAATATTCTCACCGATATCCCTACCCTCACCCCCTAACACTACATTGCTGAATATTCTCACCGATATCCCTACCCTCACCCCCTAACACTACATTGCTGAATATTCTCACCGATATCCCTACCCTCACCCCCTAACACTACATTGCTGAATATTCTCACCGATATCCCTACCCTCACCCCCTAACTCTACATTGCTGAATATTCTCACCGATATCCCTACCCTCACCCCCTAACACTACATTGCTGAATATTCTCACCGATATCCCTACCCTCACCCCCTAACACTACATTACTGAATATCCCTACCCTCACCCCTAACACTACATTGCTGAATATTCTTACCGATATCCCTACCCTCACCCCCTAACACTACATTGCTGAATATCCCTACCCTCACCCCGTGACTCTGCTGACTGACATATAGAATACTACACTCGTTCTCGTAAGATACTATTTTTACGAAACGAGTGAACTTTCTATGGTATCTGACCGAGCGAAAGCGAGGTCAGATACCATAGAAAGTTCACGAGTTTCGTAAAAATGGTATCTTACGAGAACGAGTGTAGTATTTTATTTATTACCCACATTTTTAAGGACGAAAATAGCGTTTTCGTTACTTTATACGCCAAACGCAAAATGGCTCGAACTCTGGTTGCGCATGAATAGTAAAATGCCCAAATATAGACATGCTAACTTATTTACGCATTGGTAAATAGTTCCTGTTGTTTGTGTATGAATAATTGACAATACAGCTCATGCCAGGAAATAACAGTTTTAATTTGGAGAGAGTAAACTAACTGGAATGTGTATGATGTGTACACACTGAACAAGAACATGTAAAAAGTCAAACGTCGCCTCCCGTTTGAATCTCGGCCATGCCGCAGAGACGTTCACTCGCGCCGCTAGTACATTCAACAGTTAGCCTACTCAACATTACTGTCGTCAGTGGACCTAGTTTCCAGCTTTTGACGTTTCGGAGCATAGAAATCACTGTGGTCACCAAGGAAGTTAATGTTTATCGTTCCTCCATATATAGGAGCAGAGAATATGGAATTGACAAAGTCGCACCGAGTTTGCTTGGATTGTGCGGAGGTCACAACATTGACGGAACGAGATGTGCTTTCGGGAAGGGCAAGGTCACCGCGAGTGTTGGAAGAGATCATGTTACTAATGTCACGATGTTGAACGCTGGAAATACTGCTGTAGTTGTTCACACTTTGGATGTTTTTGTGACCGGAAATTTGCATGATTTCTGTGCCCGGTACACCAATCTCACGGAGTGATTAAATCATGGTTTTCCTGGCCGAGTGATTTGTGACACGTTTTCCAGTGATTCCCGCTGAATTGGATATTCTTTTCATAATTGAGCCAAGTTTATTTTTTCCAACTGGTCCACGTTTAAACCAAGGATGGTTAGGGGCAGGTGCTAATTTCGAATTCGTGGCCAAATAGAACGGAGTGTCTGGTGAACAAAAATCTACCGGTCGCAAACTGGCATACAGTTTGTACAGTGCAACTGGACATCGTGGGTCGTTAGTGGACCATGCACGGGGAGGCACGTCACGGACATTACGTGTGTCATTGCCTGTGCGTGTCTTTGTTTGACGTTCATTGTACTCAATGAACTCTCTACCATCTGAGTCGAGTTTTAGAACTACATCTCCCCACCTCATCAAGTGATGAGGTTTTACACTTCGGAGACCAAAGTGTCTTGTGTTATTCCACCACAGTGTGTTGAGAATGGATTCTGGATTATTAGGACCCAATTCGTTTGCATCAAACATCATGTTTATTTCATCATCGGACAGACTTTCGGCCCTATTAGGTAAGTTTCCTCGCCCTTCTCTTTTTAGAACTTTTTGTTTGGTTGACAGGACTTCGCGAAGTTTTGAAAACTCACGATCCTGCAACAAGGACTTTTCATATGCCCTTGATTTTAGAAATCTGTCAATACTTGATAGCTTTGATGTCAAAGAGCTTGGTTCATAGTCCTGGCCGTTTGATTTCTTTGTCAAGATGAAAAAGCTACACAATACATCGCATAGTTCATTTGGGGGTATGGTTTCAACCGGCCTAGAATCAGCGTTGGCGTTCATGAATTTCTCCAAAATACTTATGTCATATTGGGTTTTTCTCCAGGTGTTTTGATTTCGATTTTGATGTATGAAATTGTCAGTGTTTGAACAGTCATACTGATACACATTGTCACCTGGTATATCATCAAAAAAGTCATCCTTAAATAGTTCCTCATAGACACATTCTGGAACAGTGTCAAATGGGTTCAAAACGGATATAGGGGCCGATGATACAGTCTCAGGAACAACAGTAAGTCTATGCCGTCCTACTTGTCTCATTTCACCATTTAGAGTTTTGATATTGTAGGCATTGAATGTTCCAAGTGGTTGAACAATAGAAAGCACCCGTCCTCTAACTTCTCCGTCAATTTTGACACAATCGTTAACGCGAATAGTGGTAGCCATCTTTCGATCTGCGCTAATATTTTAGCAGACGATCGTGCCGGAGATGTTGTTTTTTTGTAGTAGCCTATATTTGTTACCAAATGCAAAATGTTTCAAGTTAGCCAAACAAAATACCATTTATTGTCATGACACGTATTAAAATTGCTTGTGATTGTTTGTAAATGTCTCTCGTTTTCACGAGAATCCTACAGTTCTGCTTCGTAGTAGTAAAGAGTTGTGAAATCGAATGACGTCTCGTGATTGTTTATGAATGAAAAAAGTAGTTCCGGTGTGACCGAGGTCACGATTGTCCAATCAAAACGAATAAAACGAGGTCAACCTTGTACGACACACGTGTGACGTACGGATTTAGTATCTTACCACCTGTATCTTCACCACGTGGGTAATAAATGAACATATCGTACAGATAAAAACAGTTGTTAAATTATCTTAATAAGAATTAAATAACAAGGCGCCCAGAGATTCTCTTCAAACATTATAGATTTGCATGGGCTGTATTTGATATATTTGTGTCAGGGTCTGTGAGACAGACTAAGAAAATGTGAAAGGCCTTATTGTCATTATTATAACAGCAAATGTTGAATACTGCACATACCTAGGTAATGCATGTGGTTAGCAGCTTCTGTTACATAGATTGTCCCTGTGAAGGAACGGTTGGTACATGCGCCGGGGGTTCTGGCCATGGTCTTCACACTAGGCTCTCCAGGTGGGATCAGTAGGCTCTCTTGACCAGTTGTCAGGATACCTGCATCATAAGCTCGCAGGACCGGGGTGAAGTAGATTTTCATTCCTGATTGGTCGAAATAGTCACTTCTCTTTTCGGGATTGTTCCAGTGCAACTGTGATAAGAGTGAATAGGTTAGAAAGGATAACCATTGACAGGGCTCCGTTCTACCTACACATGGGCAGGCAATGGCCGATTCCATGTAGTCTGCGATTGGATGACACTGAACATAGCATTCATTGGTTCTCGGTGTCGAATGTAAACAAATAGCGGACTAAGTGAAGCTTATTCGTGAAGTAAAATTGCTCTTGCCAAAATTAACATCAGCAAATCAGTTTGTTGTATTTTATCGGTAAAAAATCAATCTCAATTTCGTAAGTAAGGACGTTACGCATGCGCACCGGATATGTCCAAAAGAGCTTGGGTCAAATTTTTTGTATACTTTTTGTATTTGGTATGGAGTTGTTTGGGTACATTGTATATGTATTACTTCTGCGAAGACATGTGATCAATCATTATTGGAAAACGTTGAAACTGAAGTGATTGTAGCGGGTTTCATCATGGTTGTAAACGTCTTACGACCGCATCACTTCCGGCTTTACTCCCACGTAGAACTAACACGCTGCGATAAATCTTTTGTTCAAAGCGGCGTCATTCCAGCTTACGCACTGACTCAATTAAGGTATAGGCAGAAGACAGTGTCTGCAACTTACCTGAACAGCTAACTTCTTGAAGCCGTGTACCCCCATCCGGAATCCCACCGACTCGTGGATGCAATCACCAGCGTTGCCCAATGTCCAGAGGCTCACGAGGGCACGACAGCTCCCACCAGGAAGCATGCCGCAAACAAAGGGGGCAAGGGATTCATCTTCATCTGAAAGAGGAGTAGAAGGTCAAACCTCCTTCATCCAGAACCACCTCCGTGGTCTAGTGGACAGAGTGTCCGGAGACAGGTCGGTGGTTTGATCCCCTGGTCGCGTCATACCAAAAGAGATATCTGTATATCAGTTTCAGACATAGTACTTTCACTGTCTCATGACAGCTCTTCAGCGTAATTGAATATGATATATGAATGGCGTTATATATATATAAACGAGGTCCCCTTCGTATCCCCTTTATATACATCGTGGAATGATTTTGCCTCTCCCGAGCTTAAGCAGGGGACAAAGAAAACTGATTCCATGTGGGACCATAATTTATTACCCATCGCTTTCAAAGTTTTCATAACGCCCTACAAACATCAGATTGCGTTCTCTGTATAAGAAGAGATATTCGTAGTAATACAAGTGTTTGGTAAACCAAATGTCGACCGTATAACACATTTAAGAAAATCCTTGCACGCAGAAAAAAATACCATGGATTAAGGTTTTGAAATAACGACTTAACGTTTGGGAGTACAATTACTGTTTTCTCAACATTTAATTTTCATATGTATAAGGTTATACACTTAAAAATATTTTTAAAATACTTCTAGGATTTTAACACTGAAATTCAATCGACACAGTTCAGTCGATATGAAACGAGCGGGTCATCGTGGAGCCGACATGTTTGAATAAGCATAAACAGGGACAAGACAAGATAACAACAGCAACATTCAAGAAACAGTGTTTCAACAACATTGCTATTTATGCCTGTTTTTCATCCGAAGCCGAATCGCTCATACGTGAACAATGTCAACGTTTGACTTGGGCCGAACACGTTGTGAGGTCATTGCGAAAATGAGCGTCACCCGAATCAATGCTAATTTTAAAAACATCACCATGGATCGGACCAGAAAACACAGTGCCAACAACTTAGAAATAGTTTTCATTCCAACTGTGCTTGACTCAGAGTGTTGTTTGCACGTGACTTAGGTCCAGGTCAAGGACGGAAGTGCGCATGTACGTGCCGAGGATACCACAGGCATGGCGCGTGACACGAGGATCTGGCTAATTCCTTGTGTCCTGGCACTCCCACAACGTGCAGGTGCGATGTTGTCGCTGAGTGTTTGACGCATGATATAACGCGCACTATGGTTGGTGAGACATACGTCTGTCAACGGACAAGTTCGCATGATGGGCCTTGTTTTTCATGATACCTCCAAGTTTATTTTTTCTCGCCGTTTGAAACCTGAGCCTCGCCACACCGGGGATCCCTCAGCGTGCGAAGCCAAACAGAAGGAGTGTTCAGAAGAGGAGAAAGTCGTTGGACACAAGATTTTGTACTTCTTGGTGCGTCCAGTGGGACATCGGTCGGATCATACATCGCTGGCAGCCAACACAGACACGGGACGGGAACATAGGGTACAAATCAAAACAGGGGATTGCATCGGACATAATTTTGATCACTGATGTGTCAAATCTGGAAATGTCCTCCACGTGCCTACTATAAAACGTTTTGAAAGCTCTACTGGGACCTTGACTCTTGTGAGTGAGTTTTGAGTGAGTTTGGTTTTACGCCGCTTTTAGAAATATTCCAGCAATATCACGGCGGGGGACACCAGAAATGGGCTTCACACATTGTACCCATGTCGGGATTCGAACCCGGGTCTTCGGCGTGACGAGCGAACGCTTTAACCACTAGGCTACCCGACCGCCCCCTTGACTCTTGTAACCCTGATTATCCCTGCAACAACTTCTGAACAACGGTCGCTGACTCCCCTTGACATTGTAGAAAGTGTATGCCCGATTAACTTCAAAAGGTGTGAAACGTGGACACAACAGCCTGGAGCTGCTGGACTCTTGCTCGACATGAAGGCAAGGTTGGTTGGTTGGTTATTTTACGCCGCACTCAGCAATATTTCAGCTATATGACGGCGGTCTGTAAATAATCAAGCCTGGACCAGACAATCCAGTGACTGATATCATGAGCATCGATCCACGCAATTGGGATCGATGACATGTATCAACCAAGTCAGCGAGCCTGACCACCCGATCCCGTTAGTCGCTTTTTACGACAAGCATAGTCACCTTTTACGGCAAGCATGGGTTGCTGAAGACCTATTCTACCCCGGTATCTCGACGTGAAGGGAAAGTTGACGGTTGGACAGTTGAAGTCATCCCTATTGGCATGCAGTCTTGTAGAGAAGTTGTTGTCACTCTGAATCTGTAAACATAGATCTAAATATGACACAGATGAGACGGTTTTGCTTGTGTCTTTTACGCCTGGTTCGGGTGGGTTGATCAGTGGAAGGGGATTGACTATTTGACCTGTTTTTGAACGAAAACTGCTAAGTTGAACATCGTTACATTTTCAGACCCGGATGCCCGTAGTAGGCGAGATGCATCGTGTGATATTTGGTCCTGTAGACTAAAAGAGATGACTGAACGATTGTCTGTCATAGACCATTTATCTTACAGCAGCTGTTCGACACTTCAAAATGTGACTAACGTTTGAATGCGAAGGTGGTCGATGGTATATGACAAGCACGAATGCAGTTTTCGGTTTTTACATACTCCAATATCGAACCATTTTAACATCGAATTTGCGCATAAGTTGCCTATTGTCGCGATTGCAGCGGCACATTAATAGACAATATTAATGTACAACGGATCAGTCACGTGTTCCGGTTGAATACCTACCACTCACACGCAATGTGATCCTTCACAAAATGTGTCAGCCATATCTGTCGATTATCAAGGCAATGATAATAATCAAAGAATAATTGCCTATCTCTCCGACCGACCATTTAATATGCATAGGGGGCCGCTGGGATTTTATCAAAAAAGTAATTTGTCACTGAAAATTCCTAAGAATAATAATCGCCTTCCACCCAAATTACATTGTTGCAAGGTGTTTTTCGAAATTCCGGCTCATAGATTTAAATAAAAAAATCTGGTTTTGCAGCTGAAGCTGAAAAAATATCTTATCTCGATGCAAATTCCCTGTCCCCACCCAGAATATCAAATGGTCGGTCCCTACAACCATACTGCCTCGAATCTCACACATATGTTTGAAACCAGTTAGCTCAATTGGGTTTCTCATCCACAGGTGTGTGAGAAATGAATTAGTTATCTATCAATGAAAATGGTTTAAATCCGTCAATATCTATCATCTTTACTAAAAGCAGCCATCTTTATAGCATCAAGTGACGTTTGATCTCGATAATGACCAGTCGAGAACCCAACCTATGTTTTATGGTGAGTGAGTTGGGTTTTAACGCCGCTTTTAACAGTATTCCAGTTATATCGCGGCGTGTCAGCTTAATGTGGGAGGAAAGCCCGAAGTGATGCAGGTCTCAGACGTTTACCACTTCGGTGAAACCCACGAGCACGGGTAGGGTGCTGACAAACCTAGAAACATAATCGGGGCGAACCGGGATTCGAACCCACAATCATAGGTTTCTGGCGTGCCCAGGGGACGCAACTCTGCACAGCGAATCGCGGCGCCTTAGACGACTGGGCCACCCGTGCCCCCCTATGTTTTATGATTTAAAGCAAACTGAATTGCATTGGAACTGATCGATAACTGTCTCCCTGAAGCCAATCTAATCCATGACGTCTTAAGCAATGGCCGATTTGGCAGACAGTTGAACTTGGCCTCTTATTTAATTCAATTCAAGAGACCGCCTCCGTGGTCTAGTGGTAGAGCGTCCGCCCGGAGAGCGGAATGTCCGGGGTTTGATCCCCGGCCGCGTCATACCAAAAGACGTTAAAAGATGGTACTTGCTGTAACCCTGTCTGGCGCTCGGCATTAAGGGGCTAAAACAAGGACTGGTCGGCTCGGAGTCAGTTTACTGTGTCTGAGTGGGGTATTCATGTTAAACTGCGGCATGGTATCTCAGTGGGCTAGCACTATAAATCGGCATCAGTCCGGACTAGTACAAGCAGCCACACACACGTGCATGCACGTCGCTGTATAAGTGCAATAATCTTAGACGTGACGTTAAACCCAGTTTCACCTCACCTATTTCAAGAGCCTCTGTTCAAATTTACGTCCAACTTTATGTTCAAGCTAGAGTTGGGAATCCTAATTAAGGAGTCGAAGGCAATATATGACTCCATGTCGTTTGATTGGCTGACCAAGTATGTTCGCGTTTATAAACATAAGACTACTCTTTGCTGATTGGCTGATAACAGAGTGGGCGGGGTTTGTGTTACATTACTGCGCTGAACAATATCACTGATCACATATCGTTGTCTTCGTTTTTCGTGGTAAGGTTAAATAAGCAGTCTAAGTTATTATTGTTTACTTATTTAGTCATAAGAATTGTCTACAATATGTGTTTTGCGTTCATGGATGCAGTAACGTATACCATGATGTGCGCACTTTCCGTCCATTCGCTACAGAGACTATACATGAATGCAAATGAATAACTTCTCTCGAAATTTTTATATATTGTGAGTGAGTGAGTTGTGTTTAACGCTGCTTTTAACAGTATTCCAGTTATATCGCGGTTTTATATATTATTTAAGTTTGAATGTTTGTTGCACGATATACAGGTATTTGGCAAATTTTTAAAAGTGTGTGTATGGTAGTATCAGTTTCATGGCCCTTACATTGAAGTATTCATCATCAACACGTATTATTCATAATAACTCACATCAACGATGTCAAGATGATGATGATGATGATGATGATGATGATGATGATGACTCAGGGACGATGATGTCAACGATGTCGGTGATGATAATGATATCGATAATTCTGACGCGATAATGAAGGTGAATGTCTCTATGATTATGATGATGTTGAAGATGACAATGATATTGAAGATGACACTGATGATGAAGATGATGATAGAGACAACGACGAGACGATGACGTATTGATGATGCTACTTTATGTGGGACGTGTGCTGTGTGAACGGGAGCCCTGCGTGCGACATATCGGCCGGGTAATTACAGGTGATAACGACCCCCGGAAATTGCAAGGATAAAATCTAGAATTACCAGCAGCAGGACCATGTGACAGCTGTGAAAGGTGGGCGTGGACTGTGAACAGCTACACACTCACAGACTATGTGGGAAGATGAAGGGAAGCGGTCATAATCGGCATATCAGCGCAGGTGAATATACTTTTACAATTTTAGTTGTTTTACTCGAGAGATGTAAATCATTGACTGAATATATCGCCAGCGTTCAACACATGCATATCGTTGTAATATAACTGTATATATGTTGCCGTCATGTTAATATGACAATGAGTAGTATTATGGATAACAACTTCTTTGTTATACATATACAACGTTTCAGAGTTACTTCTTACCCATTCATCAGATGAATGAGGGCATTGTAATATACACAGTGTCAAATTATCTACCTTTATATATTAATGATGCAGATAAACAGGGATATCGTTAGTGTCAGTTCGGATTGATCAAATATTTATATACAGTCACTACCGCTGTTGTCGCCAGGTTCGCCAGGTGTGTGTGTGTGTGTGTGTGTGTGTGTGTGTGTGTGTGTGTGTGTGTTTGGTTTGGTTTGGTTTGGTTATTTTGTTGGTTTGGTTTTGGAGGGGGGGAGGGGGGGGGGGGCCAAAAAACTTAGAGCAAGGGGAACAAAATGAACAAGTAACTTTGAGACGGAAAAAAATTCAGATACAGCGAGCAGCATTGACATATAATATGTATAGGTACATGTAACTTCGAGACATCATTTCAGATATAGCGAGTAGCATGGATAGATGATATAAACAGGTAACTTCGAGATAGGGATATCATTTGAGATATAGCGAGTAGCATGGATAGATGATATAAACAGCTAACTTCGAGATAGGGACATCATTTCAGATATAGCGAGTAGCATGGATAGATAATATATACAGGTAACTTCGAGACAGGGACATCATTTGAGATATAGCGAGTAGCATGGATAGATGATATAAACAGGTAACTTCGAGATAGGGATATCATTTGAGATATAGCGAGTAGCATGGATAGATGATATAAACAGGTAACTTCGAGACAGGACATCATTTGAGATATAGTGATCAGCATGGATGAGAATATAAACAGGTAACTTCGAGATAGGGATATCATTTGAGATATAGCGAGTAGCATGGATAGATGATATAAACAGGTAACTTCGAGACAGGACATCATTTGAGATATAGTGATCAGCATGGATAGATAATATAAACAGGTAACTTCGAGACAGGGACATCATTTGAGATATAGCGAGTAGCATGGATAGATAATATAAACAGGTAACTTCGAGACAGGGACATCATTTGAGATATGGTGAGTAGCATGGATAGATGATATAAACAGGTAACTTCGAGATAGGGATATCATTTGAGATATAGCGAGAAGCATGGATGGATGATATAAACAGGTAACTTCGAGATAGGGACATCATTTCAGATATAGCGATCAGCATGGATATATAATATAAACAGGTAACTTCGAGACAGGGACATCATTTGAGATATAGCGAGTAGCATGGATAGATAATATAAACAGGTAACTTCGAGATAGGGATATCATTTTAGATATAGCGAGTAGCATGGATATATAATATGTACAGGTAACTTCGAGATAGCGATATCATTTCAAATATAGCGAGTAGCATGGATAGATAATATAAACAGGTAAATTTGAGATAGGGACATCATTTCAGATATAGCGATCAGCATGGATAGATAATATAAACAGGTAACTTCGAGATAGGGATATCATTTGAGATATAGCGAGTGGCATGGATAGATGATATAAACAGGTAACTTTGAGACAGGGACATCTTTTATGATAAAGCGAGAAGCATGGATAGATGATATAAACAGGTAACTTCGAGATAGGGATATCATTTCAGATATAGCGAGTAGCGTCGATAGATGATATAAACAGGTAACTTTGAGACAGGGACATCACTTCAGATAAAGCGATCAGCATGGATAGATAATATAAACAGGTAACTTCGAGACAGGGGTATCATTTGAGATATAGCGAGTAGCATGGATAGATAATATATACAGGTAACCTCGAGACAGGGGTAGCATTTCAGCATTTCAGATATAGCGCGTAGCATGGATATATAATATAAACAGGTAACTTCGAGACAGGGACATCATTTGAGATATAGTGAGTAGCATGGATAGATGATATAAACAGGTAACTTCGAGATAGGGCCATCAACTTGAGATATTGTGAGTAGCATTGTGAGATAATGTAAACAGGACTTCGAGACAGGGACATCATTTGAGATATAGCGAGTAGCATGGATAGATAATATAAACAGGTAACTTCGAGACAGGGACTTCATTTGAGATATAGCGAGTAGCATGGATATATATGTACAGGTAACTTCGAGACAAGTACTTCAGTCGGTTAATATAGTCATGTCGTCGGCGCAGGTTGTCAGTCAGCCTGATACAGCGAGGGGAACCCTACCGTCGCGGAGCGGAAATAGAACTGGATGACCATAGCAGCCTGGCAAAAGTTTCAACATTGATCAAGACTGATCACAGGAAGTACTGTGTAATCCAAGACGGAACAACGCAAATCACCCTGGATTCACGAATGCTCAAAGCAACCCTTTTAAATCTGTAAATGATGACTACCCATTGCAAGTCGGTCAACGTCAATTCTATGTTGTGTAAATTAAGACTTTGCAACGTCAATTCTGTGCTCATGTAAATTGAGACTACCCAATGCAAGTTAGTCAATGTCAGTTCTATGTTCATGTAAATTAAGACTGGGCAATGTCAATTCTATGCTCATGTAAATTAAGACTTTGCAACGTCAATTCTGTGCTCATGTAAATTAAGACTACCCAATGCAAGTTAGTCAATGTCAATTCTATGTTCATGTAAATTAAGACTGGGCAATGTCAATTCTATGCTCATGTAAATTAAGACTTTGCAACGTCAATTCTGTGCTCATGTAAATTAAGACTACCCAATGCAAGTTAGTCAAGGTCAATTCTATGTTCATGTAAATTAAGACTGGGCAATGTCAATTCTGTGTTCATGTAAATTAAGACTGGGCAAGGTCAATTCTGTGTTCATGTAAATTAAGACTACCCAATGCAATTTGGTCAGCTCAAACCATGTTTAAATCGACTTCTCAACCCAAAGTCTATTTATGTCAAGACTTTAAACGAAAGCCCGGTTTATATCAAGATTGGTCAAAGCTTTCCAAGGCTGATCAACACGAATCCTGCTGAAACGTAACGCGACACAATGACAGCTGTTCGTTGCCTGTTCCTCTGCACGCGCAGGGTGCCCCGCCCCCTGGCGGCAATGGCTGCGGTGGGGATGATAACACTAACAGTATACTGTTGTACAACAGGCAAGTATGGTTATCTGTGTGTTATCTGTGTGTTATCTGTGTGTAACAATAGGCAGTTATCAGTGTAACAAGGGACGTCAGTCTGACTGGCGGACAAGCGTAAGTGCTGTAGTGCATCGCGTTAATATTTGTTCATCATTCCTAAAAATCATCATCACCAGCCTCGTCCACCAGCTGTGACAACATGGTGAAAGATATATACTCACGATGACAAATTGTGCGCTTAGTAGAATGGCCACGTGATACCTGTTTGGCTACACCCTCTGACATATTGCCAATACCGTCACCGACACAATTTTTAAACAGATTAAAATATGTTACTGCAAACTGGGCGTTCGTTACAGCGTCACGGCGGAAATGTTCAGCCATGTAGGAATCTGATCCGGGTTTTGATACATGAGCCGGTATTAAAAAATCGAATAATCATAGTTGTCCTGAGTAATTGATCTGGGGCTTTTATGAAATGAAAAATGATACTATCGAATTATTTTTTCTTGTGAAAGAAAACACGGACACACGTCCAACCCGAGGTTCCCGAGGATATACGTTTATAGTAAACTTTCACAAAGCGAACGTAACGCTACGTCTGTAGTAGTTTAAGTCTGTGTTAAAGTAATAATAATTATGATAAGTGCAAGTAGATGCTCAGAGCGCTACACTATTTTTACCCCGGTCAATGGATCGGTGAGCACTCGATTTTCATCCTCAGCTCCCTGGGGAGTATACAACCCAACTTCTAAGGCGCTAGAAGGTTAACAGCCACATTACCATCTTATCCTACCGGGTACCCACTCACTGCTGGGTGAACAGAGGCAAATTTCGAACAAAGTCACTTGCCTAAGGAGACACCACATGTGGTACATGTGATTCAGTGTAGGGCAGGACCGAAGCCCTAGAAACTCTCAGGAGTCAAGCTGCTTAACGTGGTCACCCATCCAACTACTCATCATTCTGATCTGGATGTGTGATAAAGAATAATAATACATGCAATGGAAACTCTAACGCCGGTTTATCATATCTGTAGCACTAAGATATTTTAACAAGCGTATAATAGCTGTACATAGACGACTATCTCTCCTATATTTGTACTCAGACTTACACAGTGAGTGTGTGAGTGAGTATTCTGGTGGAAATAACGGACAATAATGTCTTATATGTTTTTCATTTCATCATCTACCAGGCCACAAAGTCCATCGGAAGTCAACTAGTGATGATGTAGCCAGAACGTCACAGGTAATCAGTTCGATAAATGTTACGGGTTTCAGACTTCCCTTGGTTATAAACTATGACCAGCGCATTTTTTAATTAGTGTGTACATATATCCCCCGCTGATCATGCTCAGATGTGTACATGTTTCCCATGGTGATCATGCACAGATATGTACATGTCTTCAAAGGTGATCATGCTCAGATGTGTACATGTCTTCAAAGGTGATCATGCTCAGATGTGTACATGTCTTCAAAGGTGATCATGCCCAGATGTGTACATGTCTTCAAAGGTGATCATGCCCAGATGCGTACGTGTCTTCAAAGGTGATCATACCAAGATGTGTACATGTTTCCCAAGGTGATCATGCCCAGATGTGTACATGATTCCCAAGGTGATCATGCCCAGATGTGTACATGTCTTCAAAGGTGATCAAGCCCAGATTCGTACATGTCTTCAAAGGTGATCATGCCCAGATGCGTACATGTCTTCAAAGGTGATCATGCCCAGATGCGTACATGTCTTCAAAGGTGATCATGCCCAGATGCGTACATGTCTTCAAAGGTGATCATGCCCAGATGCGTACATGTCTCCAAAGGTGATCATGCCCAGATGTGTACATGTCTTCAAAGGTGATCATGCCCAGATGTGTATATGTTTCCCAAGGTGATCATGCCCAGATGTGTACATGTTTCCCAAGGTGATCAAGCCCAGATGTGTACATGTCTTCAAAGGTGATCAAGCCCAGATGTGTACATGTCTTCAAAGGTGATCATGCCCACATGTGTACATGTTTCCCAAGGTGATCATGCCCAGATGTGTACATGTGTCCCAAGGTGATCATGCACAGATGTGTACATGTTTCCCAAGGTGATCATGCACAGATGTTTACATGTTTCCCAAGGTGATCATGCACAGATGTGTACATGTGTCCCAAGGTGATCATGGACAGATGCGTACATGTGTCCCAAGGTGATCATGCACAGATGTGTACATGTGTCCCAAGGTGATTATGCACAGATGCGTGCATGTGTCCCAAAATGATCATGCACAGATGTGTACATGTGTCCCAAGGTGATCATGCACAGGTGTGTACATGTGTCCCAAGATGATCATGCACAGATGTGTACATGTGTCCCAAGATGATCATGCACAGATGTGTACATGTGTCCCAAGGTGATCATGCCCAGATGTGTACATGTCTTCAAAGGTGATCATGCTCAGATGTGTACATGTCTTCAAAGGTGATCATGCTCAGATGTGTACATGTCTTCAAAGGTGATCATGCCCAGATGTGTACATGTTTCCCAAGATGATCATGCCCAGATGTGTACATGTTTCCCATGGTGATCATGCCTAGATGTGTACATGTCTTCAAACGTGATCATGCCCAGATGTGTACATGTCTTCAAAGGTGATCATGCCAAGATGTGTACATGTCTTCAAAGGTGATCAAGCCCAGATGTGTACATGTTTCCCAAGGTGATCATGCCCAGATGTGTACATGTTTCCCATGGTGATCATGAACAGATGTGTACATGTCTTCAAAGGTGATCATGCCCAGATGTGTACATGTTTCCCAAGGTGATCATGCCCAGATGTGTACATGTCTTCAAAGGTGATCAAGCCCAGATGTGTACATGTCTTCAAAGGTGATCATGCCCAGATGTGTACATGTCTTCAAAGGTGATCATGCCCAGATGCGTACATGTCTCCAAAGGTGATCATGCCCAGATGTGTACATGTCTTCAAAGGTGATCATGCCCAGATGTGTACATGTTTCCCAAGGTGATCATGCCCAGATGTGTACATGTTTCCCAAGGTGATCAAGCCCAGATGTGTACATGTTTCCCAAGGTGATCATGCACAGATGTGTACATGTCTTCAAAGGTGATTATCCCCAGATGCGTACATGTCTTCAAAGGTGATCATGCCCACATGTGTACATGTTTCCCAAGGTGATCATGCCCAGATGTGTACCGGTGTCCCAGGGTGATTATGCACAGATGCGTGCATGTGTCCCAAAATGATCATGCACAGATGTGTACATGTGTCCCAAGGTGATCATGCACAGATGCGTACATGTGTCCCAGGGTGATCATGCACAGGTGTGTACCGGTGTCCCAGGGTGATCATGCACAGATGTGTACCGGTGTCCCAGGGTGATCATACACAGATGTGTACCGGTGTCCCAGGGTGATCATGCACAGATGTGCCCGGTGTCCCAGGGTGATCATGCACAGATGTGCCCGGTGTCCCAGGGTGATCATGCACAGATGTGCCCGGTGTCCCAGGGTGATCATGCACAGATGTGCCCGGTGTCCCAGGGTGATCATGCACAGATGTGTACCGGTGTCCCAGGGTGATCATGCACAGATGTGTACCCCATGACTGTCTCCAGGTGGGGATACTGGAGCAGAATAATAATTCCCATATCAAACCATATTATGAGGATTCGGGTCATAAAAGATCCCATTATCCATGTTTTTCGCAAAATGATTAGGGAAAGTATCATTCGTGTTTTTAATTTGAAGCCTTGAAAGCAGTTTTTCTAGCATTTCAGACAGTACTTTAGAAACTGGTGTTAGTAATATGTCGTGTATCGTCATCAAGTAGAAAATACAATCCTCAGCGGTTCAAAGTTACCGTTTTGAGCAATAGAAAATACTCAATGCAATATTTTGTTTAGATACTGCACTGCAACGTGGTTGATGGCGGCGCCTCCGTGTATGCAGCGCGGCGACGTCGTCTGCAACAAGTCTGTGAGGGCAATAAGGGAACGGGGCGGACGGAAAACATCCTCGTCTACCGCAACATGTCCTACGGTGTGGTACCTAAGGCCGGCTGCACGTTTTGGATCCGCGTGTTCCGGTTCCTCCACAACGATACCAGGGGGCGCAACCTTGACAACCCATTCCAGATGACGAGGTATGAAGCCCATGGTGGTCCCAGGAAGATCAAGATGTACAGACTTCAGAAAGAGGAGGACAAGCGTGTTGTCATGGCAACAACACGTTTCATGGTTGCGAGAAACCCATTTACGCGATTGTTCTCGGCTTACATCGACAAGCTGTATCTTCCTGACTACTGGTCCAGCGCCGGGAAGACCATCGTCTCCCGCCGAGAGAATGCATCTTCTCGTAGTCTGAGTTGTGGACACGATGTTTCTTTCACTGAATTCCTTGGGCATGTTGTGGATGTCGGTGAACGTAATGCGGTCTCTCTGAACGGACACTGGCGTCCGATAGAGCACGCCTGTAACCCATGCGCATTCAAACCAGACATAGTGGCCACACAGGAGACGTTCTCACGAGATTCACGCTTCATACTGGAGAGATTCGGACTTGGACATCTATTACAGAACCATTCTCGCATAGATCACGTGCTGGACGAGTTGACAATACTAACCGACTGGAACTATCGTCCTCATGACATGTGCCTGACCCGGAAGCAGTTAGCAGCAAGGTTGTGGAGAACGTTTCAGACCAATGGCTACCTAACTCCTGGCTCGGAAGAACTTTTAGAAGCTGAGTCTTCAGAGAATCTGACAAAGGACAAACTGAAGCAGCTTATGTTCCGTTCCTATCGGGATTCCATTTTGACAAAACAGGAGTCTTCCTCACAGAGGCGATCCTACCTTAGACGGGCCTACGCCTCAGTACCACGGGGTATACTTGACAGAGTGGTCAAACTATTCAGAAATGACTTCTTATACTTCGACTACGACAGCTCTGTAGACACTCTTCTACATATGTGATAATGACTATATAAACTGCCATGATAGCGAAAATGTATTTGTGTTATTGTTATTAAAAACTTTTCTTCTTGATCTTGTTCTCATATTCTTCGACCGCCTCCATGGTCGGCTCGGAGTCAGTATACTGTGTCTGAGTTGGGTATTTATGTTAAACTGCGACATGGTATCTCAGTGTGCTAGCACTATAAATCCGCATGAGTTCAGACCAGTACAAGCACACACACACACACACACACGCACACACGCACACACACACACACACACACACACACACACACACGTCGCTATATTAGTGCAAAAATCTTGGACGCGACGTTAAACCCAAATTTCACCTCACCTCACATCATAATCCACTTCTTGTAATTAGGAGGCGGTTGGGTAGCCTAGTGGTTAAAGCGTTCGCTCGTCACGCCGAAGACATCGGTTCGACTCCAGACATGGGTACAATGTGTGAAGCCCATTTGTGGTGTTCCCCGCCTTGATATTGCTAGAATATTGCTAAAAGCGGCGTAAAACCATACTCACTCTTGTAAGTAGAGCCGTGTGCAGCTGAGGCATACAGTAGCAGAACGTTGTCATGACAACCATTAACTGCTCGACTGATATATAGGTACATCGTCCAATGAGAGATAAGCAAATGGGATCATTTTCGGCGGATAATCTAAACTGGTTATTTTCTTTCCAAATATTTACATGTGGTTTTACATTTTACATGTAAATGAATAAATTATACAATGTTTACATAGAATTTAATATATTCAACCAGACATGCAACTGGAAGCTGTGCTCAAATAACCATCTGCCGCAGATATTAGCATGATAAATATTAAGATGACAGCTGGAGGAAAATACGCGAAAATAACTCTAAGATGAAATACCGACCTCGACAGAGTTACGTAATCCAAATTAATCCTAAGGTAGCTTAAGTCGCAGTTTCCGGGATGGAGGGATGTGTGGCATCCGATCCAGAATACCCGTTGTTCATGCGATGAGCCATCGGTTGGCCTGGCCCAGACTCCAGTATTTACAATGCGTCGTAACGGAGTAAAACACCGGACTCACTCACTCACTCAACATTTAGCCTGTTTGACGCTGGAAGTATAACTGTGTACTCTTCCCGGGGTAGTTTCATCTACACTAGTTACGTCAATATCTCGTCGTCCATGACGTAATGTCGCGGGACTTTGTCATCCATAACATTACCTAACTCTTCTCCAAGTCTACCGAACATATAAAGAAGAACTTCAATATCCATCAAATACATGACTGTAATATGTGTCAGGACCACACAAAAAAATGTTTTAAGTTCGGCATTAATTTTACTCAAGTATGTTTTGTTTGTTTGTTTGTTGTTTAACGCTGCACTCAGCAATATTCCAGCTATATGACGGCGGTCTGTAAATAATCCAATCTGGACCAGACAATCCAGTGATTGGCACCATGAGCATCGATCCACGCGATGGGGATACGATGACATTCATCAATCAAGTCAGAGAGTCTGACCATCCGATCCCGTTAGTCGCCTCGACAAGCATAGTCACCTTTTACGGCAAGCATGGGTTGCTGAAGACCTATTTTACCCCAGATCTTCACAGGGAGACAAGCATGGGCTGCTGAAGAGCTATTCCACCCATGTTCTTCACGGGCGAGTCTGCTCAACCATGTTGCCCACCGGTTTGCTTCTCTTACATAAAGCGACAAACCCCTCTCCAGTATCCATTGTCTCGCTGACTTGACTGATGCATGTCATCGTATCCCCATTGCGTGGATCGATGCTCATAGTGTCAATCATTGGATTGTCTGGTCTAGACTCGATTATTTACAGACCACCGCCCTACAGCTGGAATATTGCTGAGTGTGGCGTTAAAGAACAAAGAAAGAAAGAGATACGGGGACATGCATGAACCACGTCACCTTGTCTGACCACCCTAACAAATTAGCCGCCTCTTACGACAAGCATAGGGATCTATATGCTAACCCGGAATTAACTAAGTGGAGTTTATTGTTACCTTCAGTGCAGCCGAAGATGACGGCGTGGTGCATGATGTTGACGTTGTCGATGATGGGCGTGCTGGCAATGATGTGGTAGTCGGTGTCGTTGGGGATGGAGAAGATCTGACACATGTAGGTTGTTTCAACTGGTGGTACAGATGTCCGTGGTATCTTCAGATCCATGTTTCGCACGTCTAGATGGAAATTGTTGGCAATGTTACTCAATATGTTCCGTAATATCGAACTATCTATTATCCATTAAACCAGTTTAACGCCGTATTGAACAGAATTTAGTAATATCGTTTTGTTAGTTGTTTATCGTCGCAGTTAGCGTATATGATGGCTGTCTGTAATTTAACGAGTCTGGACCAGACAATCCAGTGATTGACATCGTGAGCATCGATCTATGCAATTTGACCACCCGATCCATTTAGTCGCCTCATACGCCAAGCATCGGTTCCGGGGTACCTATATTCTTACCCGGAAGCGGGTGAGACAGATCTACCGTCAGCTGGGAGAAATATCTGTAATGGTGTGTACAGTCTACAGTGATTTGGGTTTAGATGTATCTAGTTCGAATAGGCCTGTTGGTTCTCTAAAACAGTTCAGACATTAGTTTGGAAAGCTGAAGCTATAGTTCCCCAAAACCTACGTAGTAATATTGTTTTTGAATCAAATTGCTTCAGTTACAGAATAAGCCAATTATTTTATAAGGATTGCAGCGTGAGGAGACTGTGTTTGCTCTTGTGTTCAAGTTGACGCATGCGCTGAGAGCCAAAGGAGAATCAAAGTATTTTTTGGGAATTGTATGGTGGCCCGAAGCCTTATTACTAAAATAGGTGCGGTCGGGTAGCCTAGTGGTTAACGCGTTCGTTCGTCACGCCGAGGACCCGGGTTCGATTCCTGACATAGGTACAATGTGTGAAGCCGATTTGTGGTGTCCCCCGTCGTGATATAGCTGGAATATTGCTAAAAGCGGCGTAAAACCTCACTCACTCGACTATTACTAAAAAAATAGAATGACGATATACCTCCTTTGTGAAACCCACGAGCACGAGTATGGACCAGACAATCCAGTGATTGACATCATGAGCATCGATCCACGTAATTGGGATACGATGACATGCATCAACTAAGTCAGCGAGCCTGACCACCCGATCCCGTTAGTCGCCTCTTACGGTTGCTGAAGCCCTATTCTACCCAGGATCATCACGGATCCCCAACTTCAGATGGGGCATTTAACTCTTATACAGTTTGCGGAAGAGCCTGCTCGTGGACTATCATTTAGAATATGCTTTTTATATAACTTCAATTATATACTATTCACCCAAAGCCTGTCTCTGTTTTATTTTGACACTGACTGACCACGGAAACTAGAGGATGGGAATTCATTTTCGAATCCACAAAAACCCAGATCTTGGTACGACTAACGGACATAACAATATATAGGGCTGCAACGATACAGGAAGGTTACGATATGATACGCATATCAATATTCTGGTCACGATACGATACGTATCTCGATACGTAATGATACAGAAACAAGACTTAAACCATATCAAGATTGAACCTTTCATGATTTTGGAACGGTCAAAATTATTTTATAATAACAAGACTACTGAAGTAGTTAAGCTTCAAAGTGGAACTTTCTCTAACTTTCCTTCAAAACGTTTCAAAGTTCAAACACCAGAAAGTAATTAATGTGCTCCACCAGTGATACAACGTCAAAGAATGTTTATGCAATGGTCGAAAAAACTGTATCTGAAATTATTGTTTTATCAGGAATAATATATTCCAATATCGTGTTACTTTAGTTGCAGCTTTTACTATATATGTTTTAAAATAATAAAAACCACAAGCGTATAATTTTGGTACTGGTGATTGCTGTTGCAAGGTATTTTTACGTATGGAACAATTTGACCAGTCACCGTAGGGACTTCAAGCGCTACATGTATTGCGATTGCGAAAATGTTATGTTGACACATATTGGCCAAATTGCCACAAATATGACTTTTAACGAGTCAAAGTATGGCATTTCTAATATATGTATCCATTCTCTAGCAACTAAAATTCGTTTCAATGTGTCACAAGCGGTACTCTGACCGTTGTTGCTGTATCTCTTCACACACGATTTCACCTAACTTAATGAAAACAATATTAAATGAAATTTTGAATAAAATTAATAAAATATATTACAACACATATCCAGATATACAATGAGCACGTTTTAATAACAAGATGGTATAATAATGGTATTGAATTGCGTACGTCAGTTCGGATTTGCTGACTGGTATTTCCGGTGTTATGTGCTTGCGGTGATCAGTTGATAATGTTTATTGAGATGGGGAAAAACATCTGTCAGTGTTAAAACCTGAGTTTATTAAAAATGTACGCACGTTTTGGTGAGCCATGTGTTACCGCGCTATAACCAAGTTAGCGGTTTATTGAAAGGCACAATAGTGAGGAAATGCTGTACTTGAGATTTGCGTTCCGTATCGTGGCGTGTCGATAAATGGGCCCACGTTTATCGTATATCATATCGTGGGTCAAGTATCGCGATGCATCGGAATATCGGTGTATCGGGTCTTGGCAAAACATTCAACACTGGAGAACAGTCAAGTCTCGTTCATCCGACTCTCGTTAATCCGACACTCGTTAATCCGACAATCGACAGTCGGCTTTATCTGACACTAATGATGGGAACCGATTAAAAGGTATCCTCCCATTATTTACACGTCCCATTTGTCATACACCTTAAAACAACACAGGTCAGATTTGGAGAAATGTTTACTTCTTTCTGTAATCTTGATTTCAGGGCCAAAACTGAGGCAATCTTGACTTCCAAATCATTCTTGACTTGAGTTGGAGTCCTTGTCATATTTATTCTCTGGGATCTGGGAGACACACAATGCTGTGAGTATCGTATGGCGAACTGACCAGTAGAGAGAATTCCCCTTGGGTCAGACTGGGCCAGTGTAGTCGGTATCCTCCCATTAGTTTCCCGTCCCATTTGTCACACACCTTAAAACACCTAAGTATACCTGTATATATAATACCTAAGTATTAGAATAAAGTGATCCAAGAAAAGTAATCCTGTACTTTATGTGGGTCATTATTCAAATCTGTACCCCTTTTAGTCCTGTTAAATAAACAAAAATAAATCTTGAAAATTACAACTTTTAGCGATTTAACAAGAAACATCTTAACTTAACAAATAGTTGGGTAAATTAGGCCAACCCAAAGAAACAAAATTTTGTCATATTTTAACGCTGATGTTGCATATTTGCAATGGCATCAGACATTTTCGTTTCTTGGAAGTTAATACTGCTGAATTGTGGTAACACCGATAACATTTTTAGTAACACAAAGACATTTAAGAGCAACATAAAAACTATGGTAGCCGAGAGGGGACATCGCTTTCTCGCTTTCTCGCTTTCTCGCTCTATCGCTTTATCGCTCTATCGCTTTCTCGCGGTTAAGCAATATCCCCACTTGACCACTGTAGGGGCCGCATGTGATATCTGCTGCAATTGGGAGGTAATGTCGAACTTTTCTCACTATTTACTTAAAACATAATTTAACTATACAGACGTAGGTGATTTTAAAACAATCCACCGATTTTGGCGTGAAATGTAATTGATTTATTTAAGGTTGATAACAATGAAATGCATTACTATGAATATCTATAACATATATTAAATCAGCTATCATTATAATATGTTATGTATATCTTAAGTATAGTTTTGTCAAAATTATGAATGTGTGTGTGTGTGTGTGTGTGTGTGTGTGTGTGTGTGTGTGTGTGTGTGTGTGTGTGTTTGTGTGTGTGTCCGACTCATTGTCTGTGTAAAAAGGTAGTAGATAACTACATAACTCACATCAGAACGCACAATTGTTAACCATACAGTTTAAATGGATAGAGAATTGCTACATAAATAGAAAGTCGTATATGTGACTTAAGGTAGAGACATATATCTAATTCATCTGTATTTTGTAAGGGGAACATAACTGTGTACATGTACAACTTTTGTATGCATAATGTGCATGCAACTTAATGAACACAATTGTGATCCCGAAATCGGCGGACGAGCACATATTCGGCTTCAATTCCAAATCTAATGACCGAAAACAATAATTCTTTGGACGTTATAAACAATGCAAACTGGCTAATAAAACTGACAATTATTTGTCAATATATGATCTCCTTCTTATCAGTTTGAAGACTGATGGAGGAATGAGGGGTGATACTATGAACAAAATGAAAATATGAACAGTGACTATCTGTATTCTGTGAATCTTGCCTATTTCTTACACTACAAAAAAATATACAAGCTAAACGAGAAAAGATTACGCGTGTATTTTGTAACATGTTTATCTACTACAAGATGTTTAAAAAATCTAATCATAAGAGGCAAAATAGCGGTGAGAATTACAGGAATGGATCATTAAATGTCAGCAAAAACGTTTTAAGGACGGCATCATGGGAAATATCGCTTTCTCGCTCTATCGCTTTCTCGCTTTCTCGCTCTATCGCTTTCTCGCTCTATCGCTTTCTCGCTCTATCGCTTTATCGCTTTCTCGCTCTATCGCTTTCTCGCTTTCTCGCTCTATCACTTTATCGCTCTGTCGCTTCTTCTAATGACTAACCATAGTCATATGAAGGAATCGGGTGTTCTTTAACTTCTTTGGAATAGTATGTCCTGTAAATCTTGAAATTAACGTTAAAGTTAATTATAAATGCAAAATAATTACCATATTCGACGTAATAAGCCCCCAGGGCGCTCTCTAAATTAGAATATTATTTTGGTGAAAAAAATGTAGAGTTGAAAGATAAATTTCGTGGTTTATGCTGTCAGCCTTAAATGTTTATGTACGACAGATATATTTTTCCCGAATTTAATTGCCCATAATTAAGTGTGCATATAACCCACGAGTGCGTATTATACGCGAATAAATAAGTCTTGTTTACATTAATCAATCGGAAGGGGTGCTAATTGGGATTGTTCACTAGCTAATATATTAGCAATTATCGCCGTGTGCGTTTATTAGAGCGCGGCGCTTATTACGTTGAATACGGTAGTTATACTTTGCATTTATGTCTCAGAAATGACTGTTGATAAGACGGCCTCACTGAACATTATTTAAAAATGTGTGACAAGTGGGAATATGGAGGGGTGTGACAAATAGGACGTGTAACTAATGGGAGATAACCGATTAAATCAGTGCTATTTAGACCCGTCTTCCGACAGTCTCGCACTCCGACTCCGACACACCTAATTTGCAACGAATTACCGAAATCACTCATCAATCAGTCTCGTTAATCCGACACAGTGATCAGCGTACTCCGTGGCCATCTGCCCGCTAGTACACAGGCAAGACGAGTCGGGGAGTAGCTGCATATTACAACAGATGCAGAGATGAACTTGCTTGACAGTAAACAAGAATGCTTTTAAAATACAAAAACAGGATTAATCAGATGCTTAGATAACACCAATCTCATAAAAATCGGATACAAGTTCTCGCTACCGCTGAGGACATCCCATCACAGGTCACGTCAGAAAGACCTTTGACGGACCAAAGAAATGACTAACCGGAAGTCGACATTAGCCTCTTCGGAAGCAGCTTTCTTGAAAAATGCCGCACTAGTTTTAGAGCGTGTTATATTGGACAATACACATCTCCGTTTCGTCTTGAACACTTTCTTATTAAAAAATGGATAGCGCGGATATCACAGTCTTATGTTTTCCAGGGTGAGGTGATACACCATCATGGGGAGTGAGTGAGTGAGTTGGGTTTAACGCTGCTTTTAACAGTATACCAGTGTCTAGGCTTGTCAGCTTAATGTGGGGGGAAAGCCCGAAATGATGCAGGCCTCAGACGTTGACCACGGTGAAACCCACAAGCACGGGTATGGTGCTGACAAACCTAGAAACAAAATCAGGGCGAACGGGATTCGAACCAAGATTCATAGGTTTCTGGCGAGCCCAAGGGGCGCAACTCAGCACAGCGAATCGCGGCGCCTTAGACGACAAACTTGATTTACCGCCATACAGTGGGAAGGATACGTACTGACGTCATTGATGCTGCTGCAGGTGAAGTCTGAAGACTGACAGGCCGTCAGTACCCAACTCTCGTCTCTGGCCAGACACTTGGGGTCGTTCCAGGGGTCACACACACCTGGGGTACGGAGATTCAATGAAACAAATTAATGGTGTACCTTAAATTATCTTTCATAATATTTTTGTTTTCGATATTTTGAGGGTAATTCAATTCCAAGTCACGCCATTTTCGTAAATGGTTTTGATATTTGTTGTTAAATTGTATTCGGGATTCAGGGCTGAGCAATGAGACTCAGAGTGGAAAAAAATAGATAGTATTCGGAATTCATGGGAGGTGGGGCCTTGCACCCGGTTAACTATGTCATGTGACCCCAATTGGTCTCACCTGGAAGGCGAACCGATAGGGCTGCCAATATACCTAAACCGAGTTTCACGTTGATTAAGTCTTAAAACTATCACCCCCACCCCCACCCCCACCCCCACCCCCACCCCCACCACCTCTCACACTCACCTGGGTGGGATAGCGTTGAACCGGTGGGGTTTGTCATTCCCTGAGACCAGGTACAGTTGGGGTCGCCCAGTTCCTGACCATTGGTCAATCCGTCACTGTCCGAATCTTTCTCACACAGCGCTCTTGTCCATTCCTGTGGTAAAAAAAGGTTTTTACTTGGTGTTTTATTTCTTGGTTTACGAATCCCCTCACTTCAAATTTCCCCAATATAGTAATAATACTTATGAGGAGACTTATTTTTTTTCACGGGGCACGGGTGGCCGAGTCATCTGAGGCGCCGCAATTTGCTGTGCAGAGTTGCGTCCCTTGGTGCGCCAGTAACCTCTGATCTTGGGTTCGAATCCCGGTTCGCCTCGATTATGTTTCCAGGTTTGTCAGCACCATACCCGTGCTCGTGGGTTTCACCGAAGTAGATGACTTCCTGCATCACTTCGGGTTTTCCTCCAACATCAAGCTGACACACCGTGATGTAACTCATAATCGGAGGGAACATATACTAGCTCCGTGGTCTCGTGGCTAGAGTGTCTGCCAGAGTGCGAAAGATCAGTGGTTCGACCCATGTACTATCGGGGCCGAAATGTAGGTGGTATAAAGTCCTCATTGCGCGGATGAGCACATCTCTTTTTATGACCCACCAGAGGAAACGTGTCTACCTCGCAAAAACAAACATGTCATTGTAATATCAACGTCACATTCAAAACAGAGTAATGCTTGCGAATGGGCACTGGGTATATATCGTTATAGAACGGTGATATCAAACACTGGAGCATCGAGGATGAGTTTTGTCAAGTAGAGTTGAAACCTCCCTTACAATGCTGACAATGGTGAATTGTATACAACTGGTAAAAACCGGTTGTATTATTGAATACACCAAAAATATAACAATCGCCTTAAACAAAACGTTAACGTGGCATGTCAGATGAATTGCAGGATGCTGAGAAACCCTGATACAAGTGCATCTTTCACCCTCGGCTTTGCGTTTGCATCTGACAATGGCTGCATCTTATAAACCTATTCATTGGGATTGCTGTTAAGTAAGAGTCTTCTTTCTATATGCATTAAAACCTATTGTGAGGTTTTACTTTCCAGTCGGGTTAAATCTCATAAACAGGGACGTTGTAATGTCCCTGGGATTTTATAGGATATTAAAGTCATATTTGCTATAACATCCCAGGGATTTTATATAATGTCCTGGGTACATTGTATTTTGTTAATGTAACTTCCGTTCTGATTGTAACATGTAATGAAATGTAAAGTCAAATGACAAATGTTTTCTTTATATTCCCGAGGATCGAACTCGCAACTTTCATATATGTAGCCCAGTGAGTGTCCCACGAGGCTACAGGGGCGTTGATATGCTACACTGGTATTTAGAATGTCCTTTTCAAGATCCGTACGCCAGCAACAGATATTTTACGCGCGTTTCCTAAGGTTCATGGAAAGTATGTTCGAAACATAAAATGTTGATAAATGTTGTTTTAAGTTATAAGTATGGAAAAACACTTTCCCTAGGTTTTGGTAGACAGGGCATGCCCTGGGGGTCGGGAAAAACCGCTCTGTCAACCAAAACCTCGCAAGCGTGTTTTCTCCAATACATAAAACAATCTGTATGTCACTGGGGGTATTTCACCTGATTTTGTGGCATGTTGGTGATTATTATAAATCACACATCACACTCTTATGAGTGTTCTTTATATAGATATTTTTTCTTTTCATGAAGAATATATTAAAATTATTCAGGGGGCACGGGTGGCCCAATCGTCTAAGGCGCCGCAATTCGCTGTTTAGATTGTGTTATGGTTGTGGGTTCGAATCCCGGTTCGCCCGATTATGTTTCTAGGTTTGTCAGCACCATACCCGTGATCGTGGGTTTCACCGAAGTGGTAAACAACAGAGACCTGCATCACTTCAGGCTTTCCTCTCACATTAAGCCGACACGCCGTGAGATAAGTGGAATGTTGTTCAAATCGGCGTAAAACCCAACTCACTCACTCATCAAATACATAATCTAGTTTTCATGAACTGTATATTCATACCTTTTAATATATGAAGTTGCTTGTGTCAAGAGTGGCAGTGATTAACACCTTCACAGTGTCTGTATGTAAGCCCCGGTGAGCTCTCAGCCAAGTAATGAGTGAGTGAGTGAGTGAGTGAGTGAGTGAGTTTATGCTTTACGTCACATCGGCAATATTTCAGCCATATCGTGACGAGAAGTTATACAGTATTTATCCATATATTTAAACCAAATAAGAACCTGTCAGCGATGGACAGTAAAACTACTAGAATATCACAGATTTAATGTTTTAAACTAGCATACAACAATAAAAACATATCACTAAATAGTCATAAAACATTACAATATACAGTACTTTTGCTACCTGCATGGACCCCAGCCGGATTTACATCATCCCCTCAGCTGTTGGCGATTATTGACAAATTTAGCCAACTTTTAAAGGAACATATATACTGCGATTAAAAACGTGGCTGAAATAAATATACTTTGAAAGACGTGGTCTTACATATCCTCTCAGGGGGACAATAATGTTACACTACTTTAACCCCCTTCGAGGATATAGCCACTAACAATCTCAGTTATTGATTTATTCAACCAATTATAAAATGAATTTATTTATTTACAAAACATATCAATCAAAATTTATGAATTACGTCAATTTCTTTTAAAAAAGCAAGAATTAAATGAGAACTTATCTGATATAAAAGATCCTTGAGCGATGAAACTTTGAAATATTTAACCCTCAGCCAAGGAAAGTCTGATGTTATAGTATTGTATCTTGGCTATTTTGTCATTTCAAGCTTCATCAATACAAGTGGTCAGTTCCCAGGCTAGGATTGTGTGTGAAATGATCTGCCCTATCTTCGATATGTGAACGTTGTTCAACAAATGAAGTACAATGGAATATATGTTGGGATATAATGAATATTTCTGCATGAAGTAAGACTTTCTTATTGTGATTATTGATACTTGCTCTTGCTGTTTGTGTGTGATATGATGTTTGATTTGACTGCCAGAATGAAATTATTTTTTAAATTGTTGTGTGATCTCTCCTTGTTATGTATGGAAACTATATAATGGATCCACTCGTATTAACACATACAAACACACACGTACCCACGCCAACACCACCGTTCACCACCCACCTCCCCTACCCTCAATTTCAAGTGGTCGGTCTTTATACCGTTATATGGCAGTGTATTTCATTGTTTAACAATGATTGTGACTGTGTTGCTTTGTTTCTGTTGAGATTCGATAGACGCTCATTGCATTGTATTTGGACAGTGATCAGTCTTCAGGAATTTACTATATTTAAATGCTACTGAGGTGGGTAAACTTCCGGTCCGGTAAACTGCTGACTGTGATAGTATGTTACCGAAATTTCTGTAATGTTCTATTTGATGAGTCACGATATGTTAGGTTGTATATAAGGGGACAATAGTGTGTTTTCGTATCTTTCATCGCTTCGGAACCAGCTTTTATGTGAGGATCGCTCATCATTCTTGATTCCCTGCCTAGCCAATCCCGGACGCTTGACCACTGTCGCCACTGGGTGAATACATATTATTATCACTGACTTTTGCTATCACCACTGTGTTTTTTTGTACTCGATATTGACCACTGCCATCATATTATATATAGCCATTGAATATTGTACTACCATTCTATTGTCTACTGTCATTGTAACTGCTGTGCATAAATTTGTATTGATTTGCAAACCTGGGGAATTTTGTTCTACACTTGATTGTATACCACCTGTTGGTTCACACTAATTTCTCGTACCTACATATTTCTGGGTTAACATATTGTTTCAAATTGTAACTCGTAACAATACTAATTGTTGTACAACTTGCACTCACCTTGCCGTTGTCTGCAAAATCCTGTCCGAAGGTGTTCCTGACCCCGCCCCCCGCCATCAGCTTGTGCCCCACCCCTGCCCACGTCTCCCCGGGCTTGCAGGGGCTGGGGACATTGTGACCGTTGGGTATTTTATCTCGGTAGGGAGCGTGCCCTGAGCCCGTGTGCAGCAGCGTCACGAGGAATAGTGCCCATCTGCAAACAGGAAGCATAATACGTCATGCACAGCTTGGTGCGTCAGACATGGGACATCTTTTGCGCAACTTTAATGAGTGTACAGCGCATGTCTACGAAGCAGATTATGGGTGATAGGGAGAGGTCCGTGATATAGAGTGAGAGATCCGTTATAGAGAGAGAGACATCTGTGACACAGAGAGAGAGAGAGAGAGAGAGAGGGAGAGATCTGTGATATAGAAGGAGACATCTGTGCTGTGATATCCAGAGCTCAGTGTAAGAAAGGGAGAGATCCGTGATAGAGAGAGAGACATCTGTGACACACACACAGAGAGAGAGAGAGAGAGAGAGAGAGAGAGAGAGAGAGAGAGAGAGAGAGAGAGAGAGAGAGATCTGTGATATAGAAGGAGACATCTGTGCTGTGATATCCAGAGTTCAGTGTAAGAAAGGGAGAGATCCGTGATAGAGAGAGAGACATCTGTGAGAGAGAGAGAGGGAGAGAGAGAGAGAGAGAGAGAGAGAGAGAGAGAGAGAGAGAGAGAGAAAGAGATCCGTGATACAGAGGGGGGATCTGTGACATAGAGATATGTGGTAGAGACGGAGAGATCTGTGATAGAGAGGGAGACAACTGTGATATAGAAGGAGACATATGTGCTGTGATATCCAGAGCTCAGTGTAAGAAAGGGAGAGATCCGTGATAGAGAGAGAGACATCTGTGAGAGAGAGAGAGAGAGAGAGAGAGAGAGAGAGAGAGAGATAGAGAGAGAGAGAGAGAGAGAGAGAGAGAGAGAGAAAAAGAGATCCGTGATACAGAGGGGGGATCTGTGATAGAGAGGGAGAGATCTGAAATACAGAGGGAGCGATCTGTTATAGAGAGGGAGAGATCCGTGATAGAGAGGGAGAGATCCGTGATAGAGAGGGAGAGATCTGTGATAGAGAGTGAGAGATCTGTGATAGAGAGGGAGAGATCTGTTATAGAGAGAGAGAGAGATCCGTGATAGAGAGGGAGAGATCCGTGATACAGAGGGAGAGATCTGTTATAAAGAGGGAGAGATCCGTGATAGAGAGGGAGAGATCCGGGATAGAGAGGGAGAGATCCGGGATAGAGAGGGAGAGATCTGTGATAGAGAGGGAGAGATCTGTGATAGAAAGGGAGATATCCGTGATACAGAGGGAGAGATCCGTGATAGAGAGGGAGAGATCCGTGATAGAGAGGGAGAGATCTGTGATAGAGAGGGAGAGATCCGTGATAGAGAGGGAGATATCTGTTATAGAGAGGGAGAGATCTGTTATAGAGAGGGAGAGATCCGTGATAGAGAGGGAGAGATCTGTGATAGAGAGGGAGAGATCTGTGATAGAGAGGGAGAGATCGTGATAGATAGGGAGAGATCTGTTATAGAGAGGGAGAGATCTGTTATAGAGAGGGAGAGATCCGTGATAAAGAGGGAGAGATCTGTGATAGAGAGGGAGAGATGTGTGATAGAGAGGGAGAGATCTGTGATAGAGAGGGAGAGATCCGTGATAGAGACGGAGAGATCCGTGATAGAGAGAGGGAGAAATCTGTGATAGATAGGGAGAGATCTGTGATAGAGAGGGAGAGATGTGTGATAGAGAGGGAGAGATCTGTGATAGAGAGGGAGAGATGTGTGATAGAGAGGGAGAGATCTGTGATAGAGAGAGGGAGATATCCGTGATAGAGAGGGAGAGATCTGTGATAGAGAGTGAGAGATCTGTGATAGAGATGTAGAGATCTGTGATAGAGAGGGAGAGATCTGTGATAGAGAGGGAGAGATGTGTGATAGAGAGGGGGAGATCTGTGATAGACAGTGAGAGATCTGTGATAGAGAGTGAGATATCCGTGATAGAGAAGGAGAGATCGTGATAGAGAGGGAGAGATCTGTGATAGAGAGGGAGATCTCCGTGATAGAGAGGGAGAGATCCGTGATAGAGAGTGAGAGATCTGTGATAGAGAGGGAGACATCTGTGATAGAGAGGGAGAGATCTGTGATAGAGAGGGAGAGATCTGTGATAGAGAGGGAGAGATCCGTGATAGAGAGGGAGAGATCTGTGATAGAGAGGGAGAGATCCGTGATAGAGAGGGAGAGATCTGTGCTGTGATATCCAGAGCTCAGTGTAGGAAAGGGGGAGATCCGTGATAGAGAGAGGTTTGAGTATGAGTGCTGATATTGTAAACAGTTCGGAAATCTGGTCATTTAGTTGCAATTGTGTCACAGGTGTAAAATCCGGCCGGCTTTTCGTCCAGTGATTTTAGACAAGACAAGACAATTTAATCAATATAGAGGACAATGGCATAACGTACAGACATATAAAGGTTTTTTTGTCTGATATCACACTGTTAAAAAAGGGAATCAACATACACCGAGATGGTTGGAAACAACGAATACCAAGCATTCTTTAAAAGCAGCAGTCTCATTCACATAAGGCGTATCGTGAAAATCAGCCAGTAATGTTACCACCTTTGTTAGCCGCTAGGCCCTAAATATTACGTATATCATTGGAAGATAATGTCCTGGTATACCCTTTCATGTGACAAGATAAAATCCCTGTAATGTAACCGAAGAATGACAATAGTTCCTATTGTAGGGTATGTTTATATAATCACATCAGTACAAGTCTGTCTGTCTGTTTGTCTGTTTATTTCGACATACTCCTACTTCATCACGACATCATGAACCTGTGTGGAGACATATCAGTCGGAGCCTTCCTGTACGAGATGACAGCCTTGGCCTACACTTCGACCTGTTCTCGTGTGTAATGACATCACGAGCAGGAGGGACTATTTTAGGTTCGTCGGTAACACTGTGCAACTGTGTTCTGTAACGTCCTTTGTTTGTTTGTTTTTTAATGCTGCACTCAGCAATATTCCAGCTACATGACGGCGGTCTGTAAATAATCGAGTATGGACCAGACAACCCAGTGATTGACATCAGGGGCATTGATCCACGCAATTGGCATACGATAACATGTATCAACCAAGTCAGCGAGTCTGACCACCCGATCCCGTTAGTCGCTTCTTACGACAAGCATCGTCGCCTTTTACGGCAAGCATGGGTTGCTGAAGATCTATGATGTTACACTGACCTATTCTACCTATTCTACCCCGGATGTTCACGGGTCATATATTTAGGTTGGTTGGTTCGTTGGTTGGTTGTTTAACGCCGCACTCAGCAATATCCCAGCTATATGAAGGCGGTATGTAAATAATTGAGTCTGGACCAGACAATCCAATGATTAATCTCATGAGCATCGATCCACGCAATTGAAATCGATGGCATGCATCAACCAAGTCAGCGAGTCTGACCACCCGATCCCGTTAGTCGCCTCTTACGACAAACGAAGTCGCCTTTTACTTAGGCATTTAGGAAAGACGTAGGTACCCACATGACCAGCATCTGTGAAGTCTTTCAAAGGCATTTAGAAGTGATACACATAAGGAAGAGAATACATGGATGTAAACGTCTTTATTATGAGGAACACATCGTTTCGGAGTATATGCTTACTCCTTCATCAGGTGAATGAATGCAATGAGGCAGAGAGCATATATATGTACAGTCAACTACGGTTATAACGAACTCGCTTATAACGAACTGACGGATATAACGAACTTACTTTTTGGTCCCGACTATTTGCTGTAGTTATGCTGTATATATGCTTATAACGAACTACGGTTATAACGAACTAAAATTAGAAGTCCCTTTGAGTTCGTTATAACCGAGGTTTACTGTACATGTAACGACAACAAAAAGCGAACAAACAACAAAGCAGTAAAGCTTCTAGATGACTGTCGTTTTGTAATTAATATTACAAGAGTATGTCTCCCAGCTGCAGCTATGTTTCGGACTACAATTGTTTCCACCGGGCCTACAGTTTTTGACATGTGCTGACCCTTAAGTTTCTCAATTTATTCTGCTGAGTTTCAGACACTTTCTAGTCCAGACTCGATTATTTACAGACCGCCGTCATGTAGCTTGAATATTGCTGGATACGGCGTTAAAGGGGAAGTGTACACGCAAAAATCACTTTCTTTCTTTTTCTAAACAAAACGCAATTTTAGAATTAGTTAGTATCTGTGTTTGAAAATATAAACTCATATTTTTCACAGTGAAAGTAGGAAGCTCACAATAGTGTGAAAATGCTATGTCGTTATGAGGCCTTCGTTTTTCGAGCTAAACAGGCCTGAGTTATCCCCCTTAGATTATGACGTAATTGGTGCCAATTCAACTGGGTCCCTGTCTATTCTTAACGCAAAAGATATCAAGTACCGGTTTGCGGTAAAACAACATGGCCTATGACACACTCCGGCGCAGTGGTGACTCAGCATAACACTATGCTGGCTGGCATCTGAGACGCTAGAATCACACACCTGTACCTACACCACGTGAAGCGGCTCTAACAAAGCATGATGACGTCATAATGTTTATCAATTGGCACCAATGACGTCATATTGCAAGGGGCATAAGCCATGGTGTTTTTTGTTCTGGAAATAGAACACTTGGTAAATGTGAAAAATATAAATCGGTTTAATACAAAAAATATGTTAATTAATTGGGATATTTTTCTATTTTTGTCTATGACACTACTAGGTTAACACTTTTAATGTGGAAAAAGTCCAAGAAAAATAGGTTCATTTCCGTGTGAACTTGCCCTTTAAAAAACAAACAAACAAATAAGAGATGCATACAATTTCCATCCGGTGTTCATGTTACCATGTTCAGTACGGATCTGATGACAGACCCGTTATGTAGCTTCACGGGGCGGAACGAAGTCACGCAAGAAACCTGTATGATTATGACACATGCAGCGTTGTTGTGAAATGCGGACAAAGAGATGTGCTCAACCGTGCAAGACAGCCGTCGGGCGGCTGTGGTATCACAGCCGAGGACGACATACACATACAGTGTCGTGGTAACACTTGCTGTACGATTGCCAATTCAAATGGTGCAAAGTGTGGCGTTGATTTAAGTACAGGTGTATTTCAAAATTCATCAGATTTTCAAGACCACACTTGATAAACCCAGCATGACAGTTGTCAATGGTGAAAACAAATCAAAGGTTATTTTTAAACATAATCAAAGACACGACTTCTTTTTTAATGGTTATCATTTTCATTGACGGAGGGGGCGGTGGGGTAGCCTAGCGGTTAAAGCGTTCGCTCGTCGCGCCAAAGAGTCGTGTTCGATTTCCCAACATGGGCAAAATGTGTGAAGTCCATTTCTTGTCTCCCTCAACGTCATATTGCATGAATGTCCTTAAAATCAACGCAAAACCATTCTAACTCAATCACTGAATTGACAGGGGTCTAAGTATGCGATAAAAACGTTACAGGTCGAAGGTGAGTGTATGAATATGGCCGCAGTTGGGTTTTTTAACTTATATGTCCAAAAACTGTCGGACATGACGAACTCCAGGCAGGGTTGATTAATGAGTGAGTCAGGTTTTCTGCAGCTCTCAGCAATATTCCAGCAATATCACGGCGGAGGGACACCCGAAATGGGCTTCATACAGTTTTCCCATGGCCATGTGGGAATTAAACCCGGGTCTTCGGCGTGACGAGCGAACGCTTTAACCACTAGGCTACCCAACCACCTGTAGGTTTGATTTGGTTTCTGAAACTCCTGGCAGTGTGTGTTCCTACCATAAAGATTAAATTCTTAGCATGCATTCGAGTTTGTTGTGATCGGAGCTTATGTTCCAAAAACAGCTGGACACGGACTGGGGATCTTCATTCCCACCCGGAATACCACCCGGAATCCCACATCCCACAGGTGTTAATAGTATAACTGTACTAACGATCAAAAGAATGGGAATCATGGCCACACTGTTGAAGGTTTGTACCCTAAACACCTTTGTTTGTTTGTTTGTTTATTGGTTTGTTTGTTTGTTCGAGCCGCAGTCGACATACGCCTACTTCATCACGACATCTGTCACGGGACAGAAGGCAATGGTTTCATTATGAGAATCTTCCAAACCATCCGGCACGACTTTACCCGATCCACAGAGCCTGACTCCCCAGGTCCATCTACTCCCCTTGGCCTCTGGTTACAAGGAAACGACTGTTTAAAGGGCGAGTAAAGTCAGCATAGCAGTCTTGCAGATTTTATACTTTAGGGCGTACTAAATCATAAATGATTAACCACGATTATCTTTTTTAAAACACAGAAATACCGTAAAACTGACGAGAAAAACGACCGGCAAAGTCGTCCCTCGAACGTAAACTTCCGCAACTGCGATGAATCCTCTTACTTGGATTAAAACGGGTTCCCGTTGTTTGACGCGCTAGGCAATGTCAACCGGCGTATCACAGTATTCCACTGTGGCAAATGCGCAGTTTGAGTTGCGGTTTATTCCCAATCCTAAGAGGGCCCGGCACTTGGTTTTATCGAATACAAGATCATGATTTAAGACCGGACGTCAAACTTCCATTCATGTTTCCAAAGGTGATGTCCGACCACCTTTAACACCGAAGATGAGTGCCGTGAAGATTCCGGGGTAGAATAGGTCTTCAGCAACCCATGCTTGCCATAAAAGGCGACTATGCTTGTCGTAAGAGACAACTAACGGGATCGGGTGGTCAGGCTCGCTGACTTGGCTGATGCATGTCATCGATCCCAATGGCATTGATCGATGCTCATGTTGTCAATCATTGGATTGTCTGGACCAGACTCCATTATTTACAGGCCGCCGTCATACAGCTGGAATATTGCTGAGTGCGGCGTTAAACAACAAACAAACAAACCGAAGATGCCTTTATCACGAAGCACAATAATGTCACTGAGCGGTGGGTCGACTTCAACAAATCTGTACAAATTAATTAGGGATACTGCAGATGAAGCAGGATAGAAATGATGCTACCGAAGAAGAGGATTGATTGTCATAATACTGTTTCACTTATACTTGGACTTTGAATGATAGAAATTTGACATGTGAAGGAAATATGACTCAATTCTGTATTTTTGTGTCGCCAATCGTTATCGTGTGTTTCAAACATCCCCCGGTACCATACAGTGTTTCATCTGACTCCCAACATAAACAAGCACGATGGTGATGCCTTGACCAGTTGCTGGACACTTGGGTAGTTACTGTTCGTTGAACTAAACAGGATTGAAGTAAGTAATAGTATGCTTGTTACAGATGGTTATTTTTTATTTTAATCGCTACCCATATCAATGGCGAGGTTTCACAATGTATAAAATGTGGTTATTCTTTTGCCCTTCAAAACCAAGGGGAGCTAGGGCCCCTACCATACATGTAGTAAGTGTGGTTTGTCAGATGTCGTCTTAAGTAAGAAAGAGTTACCATAGAAACGAGTTGACTATTAATAGGCCGCGACGGGCTATAGCGTATGTGCTTCATGAACCCACAGTGATATATTTACAGAACGCACAAAGATAAAAAACAGCCCTGTCGCGACCCAGTTACCCTTTGTACTTTACAGTACTTTTCAGTAAAACAGTAAAGGTAACACATGTCAATCGGAACCTACCTGGACGAGATAACAGCCACGCCCAACATGCTGCAGGTGATGCACCTCGACCGGTTGTAATGATCAAAGGTAGAACTGTAGGTGCTGCACGTCGACCGGTTGTGATGACCAAAGGTCGACTGCAGGTGATGCACCTCGACCGGTTGTAATGATCAAAGGTAGTACTGTAGGTGATGCACCTCGACCGGTTGTGATGACCAAAGGTAGTACTGCAGGTAGAGAAAGGTGCTGTGTCACACTGGGAGAGGCTAGTGGGTTACGGCACATAACACGCTCTGCTGAATATGCGTATGTAACTGTCGTATGACTCAGGTATGCCAGATACATCTCAGGGCCATGTAGTTTAATTTGTGCGTTCTTCATCTCATGCTCATAATCAGAGAGAACAATGACTAGCTGCGTGGTCTCGTAGCTAGATTGTCTGCCAGAGTGCAAATGATTGTTGTTTGTTTGTCGGTTTAAAATATGCATGTATAAACTTCTTCAAGTCTATAATGCACTAGATATACATTTCAATCACTATATTAATGTGCGATAGCGAGGATAGCATATGGCAGAGGGTTTTGGCACGTTGAAACACATGTTTCATTGACATTAGAAAGCCGCATTACTAGCTAAATATTGAAGATTAGACGATGGCATGTAGAAAGTTTGGTCAACAATAACAATGACTGAATGAGTGAGTGCGTTTGGTTTAACGCCGCTTATAACATTATTCCAGTTATATCACGGCGTGTCAGCTTAATGTGGGTGGAAAGTCTGAAGTAATGCAGGTCTCAGACGTTTACCACTTCGGTGAAACCCACGAGCACGGGTATGGTGCTGACAAGCCTAGAAACATAATCGCGGCGAAACGGGATTCGAACCCACAATCACAACTCTGCACAGCGAATTGCTGCGCCTTAGACGACTGGCCCACCAGGTGTATGGAATGGTAAAGATGATGTGATATCGGACACTGCGTTGATACACTCAGTGTCCTAGATTTCCCCTCAGTGGGGTTTAACGTCGCGTTCAAGATTATTGTACTTACATCGCGACGTGCATGCACCTGTGTGTCATGCTGATAAGTTAAGCGTGTCGTTTTGTTGTCGTGTTAAGCTGTGGACTATCTATCCGACACTGCTTCGAGACATACCCGATTATACAATGATCGACCCTTACTGGCAGCTGTAGCAAGAGCTTGAGCTTGAGTTTGAGGTGTGACTTGCGTCAAAACAAGTACAGTCAAACACCGCTGTGTCGAAGTTCAAGGGACCTACGTAAATACTTCGAATAATACGAGGTTCGACACAACCGACAAATATGAATACACAAGGAACACGCAAGGACCAAGCTCTTACATCGAGACAACCGTAATTTCGACACATCAAAGTTCGACGCAACGGTGTTTGACTGTATTAGCACGGTTAGGACTAGGATTAATTGCTCGCGTTGACATGGTTTTATACATTGATTAATGGAATTGATCTACTAATTTTGTCACCGTGTTTGCTTCATACACATACAAACATTGGCTGCGTCTCATCATGTAGTGTTATCTTCAAACATACGTTTTATGACTGCTTCTTTCAATATTGGCATCACAACCTCGACGCTTGATCTAAATGCAATTATTATTCACAGTTAAAATGACCCGTGAAGATCCAGGGTAGAATAGGCCTCCAGCAACCCATGCTTGCCATAAAAGGCGACTATGCTTGTCGTAAGAGGCGACTAACGGGATCGGGTGGTCAGGCTCGCTGACTTGGTTGATGCATGTCATCGATCCCAACTGCGCGGATCGATGCTGATGATATCAATCACTGGATTGTCTGTTCCAGACTCGATTATTTACAGACCGCCGTCATATAGCTGGAATATTGCTGAGTGCGGCGTTAAGCAACAAACAATCGTTATCATACTGAACAGCAGCGATGCTCCTCTTCCACATCCATGTGTGACCCGTATGTGACCGAATGTCTGCATCAATATTCTGCATCCATCTAGAGAACTCACCTCTGCTTTGATCCTGGAGCAGTTGTAGAGAAAGTACTGTTTACTCTAATTCCAATTCTGAGCAACATATTGTTAGATGTAAACAGCGCGTCGACTCTGTATTTGAACGATGAACTCGACACGTCCGGTTTCGTCCCGGTCGCCCGTTTGCCATCCGAAACCAATAACCAGTCGAACTGAGTCAATAACTTTGTTTTTGATTAAAACATTACTTTTTGTTATCATTGCCTCTCTATTTGTGTTTCAAAAGGGTTTTAGCTTTAGTTAATAATGTTTCGTACTATCAAATTATTGTTTTAATATACCTCAAGTGGCTTTGATGAGAGATGTAATTATTGATAATTGTTCATTCCCTACTATAGCTCGCTGGCTTGTTTTCCGGAACAATACCAAACAAAACATAACATGGGCATCTTTGACCGATGCGCAGCGAGTTAGATTCTCTAGCTTGGCAAGACCGTTTTACGATCTAGTCCTTTTTTCATTAAAGATACCAAAACAAATTATATTTTTAAATTATTATTAATTCAATTAATTTATTGATGTAAAAATTCTGGTTTTAGACATCAATGAACAAATGTTTAGATAACACAAAGATGAAAAGTAAATTGATTTCGTGATGTCAATAATTATTTTTTTCAGGAGTGTTGGTCCATGAAATACACACAGTAAATAAACACCTAGTCATTATAGTGTCTGTCGCGCATTTACTGCATGTGTTTGTGTGTGAATTATTAATAATATACGATGCCAAAAAGACACATCCTCTGATCTATGTGGTATCGGTAAATGGAAATGATATAATCATATCTGCTTGGGAGTAGGCGACTACATCTACAAAGGTTGGAGTGGAGCACCAGGTCGTTAAAGAGGTCGGAGGTCGGAATATATAGCCAACGTAAATAATATTGGTTTGGCCAGACATGCGAGGCATGCTTCTGATGAGTCGACCAATGTCAGCTTGACTCATGTTGTTCCACTCAGCAGTGAGAGCACCACCGAGTTCATTGAGAGTTGTGGGTGGATTTTGACGTTGACAATGACGTCCCAGACGTGTTCAGCGGGGAGTAGGTCAGGACTGGGTGCTGGCCACGGCATGAAATAGATATATGGGAGGGATAGGGACACAATCCTGGCACGGTTAGCACGTGCATGATCATCATCTTCGAAGATGAAACGCCGCCCACCAATGGCACCATGGGTGGTGCAATGATGCTGTCCGGGGAGTATTGATCTGTGGTTCTGCCGTAGAGTGAGTGAGTGAGTTGGGTTGAACGCCGCTTTTAACATTATTCCAGTTATATCACTGCGTGTCAGCTTAATGTGGGAGGAAAGCCCGAAGTGATGCAGGTCTCAGACGTTTACCACTTCGGTAAAACCCACGGGCACTGGTATGGTGCTGTCAAACCTAGAAACATAATCGGGGCGAACCGGGAATCGAACCCACAATCATAGGTTTCTGGCGTGCTAAGGGGCGCAACTCTGCACAGCGAATCCCGGCGCCTTAGGGCCACTATGGAGATATGGAGCGCTGTTCTGTGAGTCATTTGTATTCCATCCATACTATTATGGACCCGACCGCAAAACGATGGTGCTGTAGGACGTTAACGTCCATAAAAATGCTCATGAGGACATCCTCAAACACGATTCCAAAGTGGAGAGTGAACCCCGATTCGTCAGAAAACATAAGCCCAACGTCGATTATCCAGTGCTGACGTTCCCTACACCGCTGACGCCTCTGATTCAAAGTATGTTGTGGGATGACACGTGGACGTCCTTTGTGCAGACGATTTCGCACCGTCTTGGCATGTACTCTTACACCCGTTGGCATCGTTCTGACTAAACTGTCATGGGTTGGAGTCCCTTGGCGTCAAGAGCGGCGTCGATCATCGACGTTATGTGTTTGTTGGTATCGGGCCCACAGTTTGCGGGTGACAGATTGAGAGACATGCAGCACTTGGGCAACAATATTCTGACGTGTGCACACCTTCAACATGCCTTTGGCACGTAAACGTTCAGCACGGCACGTGGAACAGGCATGTCTTTGTTCTTGAATGCTTTGGCCTCGGTCTCAGACCTGCTTCCCTTCGGGCTTTCCTCCCACATTAAGCTGACACGCCGTGATAAAACTGGAATACTGTTAAAAGCGGCGTTAAACCAAACTCACTCACTCACTCTTTGGCCTCGACTCGCCCTTGTGTCGCTTTTATGTAGGTACAGTCAGCCTTCGAGACACTGTCCCATCAACGAAACGTCTCGAACGATCAAGACTGTCATGTTTGTAACCAACCAGGGGAGATAACTCAAACTATTTACCTCCACCGATTGCCCTCGTCATTCCACCAGCGCTATAATCACTTGCAACCACAGAAACTCACTACAAATAAACTTACAACAATATATACTGCTACATTACAATTGTAATAATAAGTCATCCCGATAATTATCTTTAAGATTAAGTGAGCTACGTATGCAAAGGATATTATAACATGAAGAATATATAGAGAATACTACACTCATGTCGTTAGATACCATAATCTGGTTGCGCATGAATATTGACATATGCCCACATATTGGCATTGTTGACATTTCTATGCATACGCATTAACAACATGTTCATGCATCTGTGTTTGTAAACAAAACAGCACCGACGCTCAAGATCATTTTTGAAGAATTTGTTCAACTTATGAGAATTCAAGCGCCATGTTGTTACTACGCAGGATGCCTTTAAGAAAATTTGAAAAGTCACATAAGCGCCGCGCTTTCAATATCGGACCATCAGTCGGTCACTCGCACTGCCGGGGTCCCGGCAGTGCAATCAAAACGGTTCGGTTTTCTTGATCTATCAGCTGAACTTATATCATGTTCGTACCATTTTGAAGAGGGAAATCAGGGTGTTCGTCAAAGACATTCGTGTTAACTTACCAACCTATACTGAAGACATGAAAATGTCTCAAACTCAACTCTGCTTGCATGTCAGTGACAGCTTCGAACGAAAAGACAACCGTGCGCTACTCGTTTTACGCTAGGGATATGGAATGTTATTGTTCACATTTGAGATATTTTGGGCCACATACTAATAAACAAACAACTCCCGAAACAGTGCCACAAAATACGCTTCGAAAGGGGACACTGATGGCACAACCGGATCATCCCAAGTAAGTCTAGATATCTGTCCAGATAGTTTAAACTGACTTCATTTCACCTCGCTTATCCTTTTACGTTAAATCAAATTGGAAGTTGCGAATGTGGTCGGGTGCGTCACGCT